CAACAGCAAGTGAGACAGTCTCCAACACAGGGACACAAAAAGCAGCAAAAAACTGATAGTTTCTACATTTTCTAAACTCTACTAATCTTTCCAGATCTTTTTTAATGTATGCAAAACTAGCTGGAATTCTACTTTGAGCACAATGGGTGAAGCCCGTCAACGCATTCCTTTATTTTCCTGCGGGCAGCTGTGCATACAGGTCCACTTATTTAAAACAGAGATACAGTAAAAAGTTTAGAAACAACATCAAACTTGAACATAGCTGTTTCACACTTGCCTCCTAAATTTGATAACGATAAAATGCTTTAGAAGAGCAATTATGTTTTTTGGGGTTCTTTTTATCTTACCATAACCTGTATTGTTGTGCTTAGTCATTTGAGCCCCATGTTCTTCTCTTTCCATATCTGATGAGAGGATGGGGAAGAGCTTATAGTACTGCATTTAGAGACAATGTTACCTGCCCATAGCTGGCAACACCCAACCCCTTCCAGATATGGGGCAATGTGTTCCCTGCTTCCCTGTGACACTGCTTGGACCTAGCAGCTAATCGCCAGGCCTGAGCATGGTCACTAGGCCGAGGGAGTGACATCAACCCTCCCCCGAGGTTGCAAACACAGCTGATTTCAGAGCTTGCTGTGATGAAGGAAGGAGTGTTGAGGGACTGTAAGAGGGTCCAGATGCCTTCTTTTGGGAGACTCTATCACTTTGCCTTTCTTGGTCCTTGACCATCTTTTTTTAAAATGTGCTTCCTTGACCATGTGTCAGCGCACCTGCACCATGGACACGCATGACGCTGTGCAAAAATTTTATGGCATATCTGAGGAAAACAGATGGCACCCTGGTTAAGGAAGGCTGCTCCAGGCAACAGTAGACTGAAGATACTAAAAGAGTTCAGGATAATGTCAGCAATTTAGCATTTTAAAAAAACCATATTTAGATTATGAAAATAATCGAATTCATCCAACTTGTCTAAAAAATGTCCCAAATGTATAGCGCAGGTAATAATTTGCCACGGATGACAGCGGCTCTGTAGCGTGTCCGAGCGGGGGATCGATAAATATAATTGATATTTATCGATCCCGCTGTGCAGAGCAAACACCGGAGTGATCGTCTGATCACTCCAGTGTTTGTAAATAACTGGGGACACATAGTACTATGTGTCCCCCAGTTATGAATGAACAGGCTGTGATTTACATCACTTCCTGTTCATTCAAGAATTTGACTAGCGCTCACTATAGAGGCTCCTCCCCATTCATAAAGTGGTGATAGTAAAAATGCAGGTCAGGAGGACAACTGCAGGTCAACTACAAGTCAGAAGGAGGACAACTGCATGACAGAAGGAGGATGACTGCAAGTTAGAACAAGGTCAACTGCATGACAGAAGGAGGATGACTGCAAGTTAAATGCAGGTCAGAAGGAGGTCAACTGCATGACAGAAGGAGGATGACTGCAAGTTAAATGCAGGTCAGAAGAAGGTCAACTGCAGGAGAGAATGAGGTCAACTGCAAGTCAGAAAGAGGACAAGTGTAAGTTAAATGCACCTGTCAGTGAATTCTGAATGAACTCAGAAGCGCCTCAAACTGATGTCTGACTAATGCCGTCGATATAAGCCAAAATCTTGTTGACACAAATGTTAAGGATTTAACAGTCCATGTTCACACCTCTGTGATTTGAAGTGATTTGGCCATCGTGCAATGATGCATGACAAAAGGAATCCCATTATTTTCCATGGTTCCTGTTCATAACAATTCATGAGCTGCAGTGCAACTTTAAAAAAAGGTGCAGACTGCAGATGCTTCTTTTGGTGCAACAAAGTGCATTTTTAGCCCTAATAAACTACAATGGGAACACATGAAAATGTAATGTAACATGTATTTTCGTGTGTTTTAGCACATGAGAACAAGCTCCCACCCCCAGCAGCCTATAATTTATTTCACTGGCCCAAACAAAAACACAACCCATGAAACCCTTTTTAAATGCATGAAAAGCACACAACAATGTGCTAAAAAAGTGCATTGATATGAAGACTGGAAACTACCAAACAAGTGCTGAAGATTAGAGCTGCAGCTAACGATTATTTTCAAAATCGATTAGTTATCCGATTATTAAGTTCGATTAATCGGTTAATCGGATAAACAATAAAATAAATTGTAAAAAATGGCTCCAGTGATGGACTACTAGTTTGTATTGATATTGTAGTGCATCACAGGAGCAAGCTTGGAGCGGTGGAAGTAAAAAAGAAAAAAAAATTGTGTGGTGTGCAATATAGTGAAAGTGTAAAATTATACAGCAATGAATGCAGAATGGCACCGGCTATAGAGGACTACAAATCCCAGCAATAATACAATATACAGTGCAATGCCGAATACCACCAGCTATAGAGGACTACAACAAATGTCCGCAATAGAACATCATCGCTGGCGGTATTCTGCATTGCGCTGTATAATGTACTGTTGCTGGGTTTTGTACTCCTCTATAGCTAGTGGTATTCCGCATTGCGCTGTATAATGTATTATTGCTGGGATTTGTAGTCCTCTATACAGCGCAGTGCAGAATATCACCAACTATAGAGTACAACAAATCCCAGCAATACATTATACATAGTGTATAATGTATTGCTGGGATTTGTAGTTCTCTATAGCTGATGGTACATATACAGCACAATGTACCATCAGCTATAGAGGAATACAAATCCCAGCAATACATTGTAGAGTACTATGTGTGGCAAAGTGCAGGCTTACCTGAGCAGTCTTCCAGCAACTTGCTTCTAAATTCGGACCTGTCTATCGGTGGCTGTCATCCCCCCACACCTGCTCCTCCTTACTACATCTCCCCGCGTCCCTGTGCCGATCGTGGATGTTGGCGGGCGGTGAGTGTAAGGCGGGGAGGAGGTGCGGCGTGCCTGGCAGCAGCGAGTGTGAGGTGGGAAGCCGTGAACAGGGCCAACTGATCGGAAGCCGATTAATCGATTATTGAAAAAGTTGACAACTTTTTCAATAATCGATTATAATCGATTATGTCGATTAGTTGTTGCAGCCCTACTGAAGATACAAGATAACATGTACCCAGATACAAAAAACAAGCTGCATTTCCGCTGGTTTTTCTGTATCCAACAAGCTTTATTGCAAGTAGAACAAGCTCACAATGCCAGAGTGTGGGCAAACTCTGTCCCTCCAGCTGTTGTGTAACAACACATCCCATGGATCATTGGAAGATTCTCACAGCCACATGCATGACTCCCAGACATGATGGAATTTTTAGTTTTACCACAGCTGGAGGGCCGGAGTTTGCCCACCCTGTTCTTCTCCTTCGACACATTTCTCCCCAATAGGGTCTAGCCATGACTATCTACTGAGGAGAAACACGTCATAGCATCTCATAAATAGATTTATCGACAATAAAATGGCTCTGTGACAAAATCAAATCTGGATTTAATCCGTGAGGGTGTATTGCCCGAAGATTAGACATCCATTGACCCTCTCTTTGGATGAGTCTCTTTAGGTCACCTTCCCCCTCTAATCTGTGTCCACTTTCTGAATAACCACTATCCCAGTCTTCTATTGTGCTCCAATCTTTTTTTGCACCCTCTCTTTACCTGGCCGCGCACAACTCAAAGTGTGTCCAATTTCTGATGTATCGCCAGAGTTTGAAGCAATGGTGGCGCTGTCCGCACCAAATGGCTCCACAAAAGTCAATTGAACATTGAAGGAACTCTGGGTAGAATTGTCGGCTGAACAGTGACTGCGTCCTATCAGATGTTCAGGTATTGAAGCAGATGAACAGATGTGTCCCCTGCACTCCTTACAGCATTCACAACCATAGATTAACACGCGGTGCTTGTAGTGATGATCACGAACGGCGCCATGCACGTCAGACTTGTATAGGAGAGAGATCACCAGCACTCTGAGGGTTTTTCATCAAATCCTTATGTTCATTTATTGTGAAACAACGTCACATATATCAGTATAGCCAAGCTTGTAGTGCTCCTTGTCGCTCTGATGAAGGGACCCTGTGTGGCCCCGAAACTTTGGCTATACTGATATATGTGACGCTGTTTTGGAATAAATGAACATAAGGATTTGATGAAAAACCTTCTGAGTGCTGGTGATCTCTCTCCTATAGAGCTATTCAAGCAGCCTCGAGTTTTGTGGCTGTCTGCATACAATAGCCCACGGGTTGGGCAACTCTGGCCTTCCGGCTGTGCTTTAACTACAAATCCCAACGTGCCTCTGGGAGTTATGCCTCTAACTGCCAGTCTTACGATGCCTCATGGGACTTGTAGTTCCACAACAGCTGGAGCGCCGGAGTTGCCCACCTCTGTTTTACACTGTAAGCCCATATGCCTTTTTTTTTTTGCATCTGTGGGAATGAGCCTGTATAGCAGGGGTGGGCAAACGCCAGCTGTGTTGAAACTACAAATCCCATGATGCATCTGTTTCTGGGAGTCATGCCTGTGGCTGCATTGCATTCTGGAAAGGTTACATCAGCAGAGCATTGCTAGGGAATCTCATCTGTAATCTTATGAGATCTCAGGGAAAGGCATTGTCCTCCCTTGAGATGATGTCATTGGTCACATGTCCTAGAAATCCAGGAAGTAAATGGAGATGGATTAATCTGCCCATAGTAAAAAGTGTGAGAAGACTGGGGAAGAAAATAGAAATAAGGTATACAAAGTCTGCAATTATCTAGAAGTATGGGTTTGTAGATTGTCATCACTAAACATTTCTAAAGGTGTCTTTGTTGTCATTTCAAAGATAAGACTGAAGTTCCTCTTTAAGTGAGGTAATATCCTGTTTTCCAAAACTCCCAATGAGCACACGTATGCTTATTACAGGGATCTGGAAGCAAATATTTCATTAACATCATGACCACTTATAATCAGAGAATTGCACTGATACCAGTAGTGGGGTCACTCATGCTGAGGGTTGATGAGCATGTGGTGCATGACGTCACCTCCCGCTTCCTAGCAGCCAGAGGCAGAGCTGGGAGCAGATGATGCGACCCATCGCCTGTATCCTCTGCATTGGGCTGGGTGTCTGCAGCCAGACTGAATGAGTCACCATCTGTGCTTCCCAATTCTGAAAGAATGCAACTTTCCTTAGATAGTCTCAACACGCTGCCGGACTCGACCAATCCCCGGCGGAGGGGGAAGTCGTGTTTCCGTGTGCCCATTGCTCTGTGAAATGAACACAAGTCAGCGGTACAGGCAGGGAAGAATATAAGGATGGTGAATCTAGGCTCGGCTGAATGTCTTCTCCGCTGGATTGTATTATTGAGGTGAGAAGCAGCATTGATCCCTCGATCGCCTCCCCCGCTGGCTGACTTGGTACGCTCCTATGTTAGAGGTTACACTGTGTCTGTACAATAGCATTTCCATCAGCTGCTCTCCTCCTATGTGTGCTCAGTGATCGGGAAGTTTGGCGTTGTGATCCATCCTTTTTGGTGGGGGGGGGAGAGCAGCACCGACAAAGGAGAAGCAGGGAGCATCAACACACAGCCTGCGATCTGCATTCAGAACAGATCAATCTCCCCAGACCCTGGCTTTCTGTTTGAGCAGGGAGGTGGCTGGACAATATTCTTCCCTCCCTGGTGATGAAGGCTTTTTTTTCCCCAACTGCTAAACGGAATCTGTTGCCCTTAGGAATGAGACTGCACCAGAGAAGCCAATCTGAGCCGTGAGACTGAAACCACACGAGGACCAGCAGAGCTAGCACTCTAAGACAACTCCGATCCCTAGCCCTTGTATCACTTGAAGACATGGATAAGGAGACCCCAACAGAGGAACACACACAAGGTAACTGTTTCACTTTAGATCATGAATTTTATCAGCAGTGTCCATGAGTGCTGGAGTTTGGGCTGTGGTCAATCGCTGGGGAGAAATCAGAGTTCTCCACTGCAGAGGAGCTGATTATAAATAGTCACTTTTGTGTGTATTAGATGATCTTTTGATCTGGCCAATGTATTCCAGCATTGGAGATCAGTGGTTGAAGTTTGACTCATCATGCATGTGCCCATCACTTGATGAAATTGTGCAGGGCTATGGCACATGCCAGCCCCACTCCCTTCCCAGGCAGGCAAGCCTGGGTGAGGTCACTTGTAGATAATAGTGTACAGCCTGGCTGCTTATAGCTCTGTGCCCCTAATGACGCTGCAGATTCCTCTGCTGGACACCAAATACGTGTTCTCTTCTTCTGCCTTTAAGCATACAATGCTCCAGATAGTCATCATGGAGGAAGACTACACAATAGACTGATTCAGGCGGAGGGGGGGCACAGTCCCTCTTTCCCTTCCTCACAACCAACAGGCTTTGAAAGAAGATATACTTTGTGTGTCTCATCCTGTAGCTGCTACAGGATCTGAATTTCAATGCTCAGGCGTCTCCGAGACAGGGGTTTTTCTTCTTCCAACTTTCACAGTCTTTTGTCTGATCCAGCTTTTCTCAACCTTTTTACCCTAGACAAACCTTTGAAATAATTTTTCTGGGAACCCCTGTTATAACCAATTTATTGGGGGTCAATGGGAACAATACTTCTTACATTGGTGGGCATAGTGTTTCCCTTTAAAGATAGCTAAAAAGATCTTTAGTGTCATGCCACTAACTCTGCCAAGTGGTGTTGGCCCAGGCACCATCAAATAGTTCAGTCAACCACAGCTCAAAGAACCCCTAGCAACCTTTTGGAGGAACACTAGGGTTCCTTGGGAATGGCTGGTCCTGTTTCTAGGTTTAGAAGGAAACCTAGAGTTAGAGAAAATAATGCAGTAAATAAAAGTGATGTATATCGGAATGTCTTTGTTGTGTAACCAGAGTCCATGCTAAATATACAAGTAGACTTGTGATTGCTGGTTCCTGTGGTTTCAGAAGAATCCTTCAGGGAAAAAAGTCTGTTGTCTTGGTTTAGAATTGTTTGGCCTTTGTTCTTTTAAGATAATAGCGAGGTCAGGGGTGTCAGTGTACATACATCACATGTATGTATGCAAAACATATGCATGGACATGTTAAGATTCTTTAGAGGTGAGATTATTTGCTGGTCATCAACTGGCTGTGGTCAGGCCTATAGAAGACCCTAGGCAGATACCTAGAATTCCAGCACTAGGTGATAATTATACAGTGTAACTGGAACAAGTGTTGCAGATGAACTAAGTGATAAAAAAATGAATAAAAAGGTGTTTTCTCAGGCTTGAAATGTTAGAATGGTCTTGCAAGGTATACCATGTTCTGGCAAATGTCCAAATCTTCATCCCTGTGTGTGGCCACTTGTAGCTTTGTACATCCTAATCAGGACTAATCTTTAGGTGTATTCTCTTAATAGTCATTGCATGGATCAAGAACTGGACTTTTGGTCATTCAAAACAGTATACAAGTAATGAAGGGTAGTATGTTTATAAAGGGGGCCTTGTGTCTTAAAATCTTGTTATGGCTTCCACTGCAGTTGGCCATCAAAAACTATTACCCTTGCTTACTTTGTTTTTTGACCAAAAGCCACATTCTTTATTGGGCTAAACCTGGCCGTATGTATTTTCATGCATATCTTCTGTATCCACCTGTCTGTATTATAGAGAAAAGTTCTTGTACCCTGCCACTTACATATTTATTTGCTTACCAAGACACAGATTATTGGGTATTCTCCTCTATACCAGTATACAGTATTCTATTTGTCCAGCAATGGGGTTTCAAATGGCTCAATGCAAGTTTGGTTAACCCAGCTTGAGCAGACATTACAACAATGTTTCCCATAGCGTTCAATAAAAGCAACCATCAGCGCATATTTTCTTGGTAATCCCACCTATGCACAGATGGCGTGACCTAGTGTCTCAGCAATTTGATTTAGTTATCTACCAACTATGAGTTGTTGGTGGAACATGAGGACATGCTTGGGAACCACTGTTCCACATCATGGGAACAAGTGCCTAAAGGAACTGCCTATTTACTATAGCAACCAATCAGCTTCTTCCTCCTGTGCTAGTTAGTGTATGTAAAGCCAAAACTTTTTTGTTGTTTTGGCTAGAGCAGGGAAGAGTTAAAACCCCATATTTTTGCAATCTCCTGCCCTGGATATGCAACAGGAAATTATCTTGTGCTTTGATCTTGTAGTTGGTAACATTTACTATGCCTATTTATATCAATCCATTTGGTTTTTGGGGGTGGCATGTGTTTGAATTGCCTTGTATATGTACACCAAGTGCCTTGTTACTTAAGAAATAAAATACAAACCACTACTTTCCATAACTGTTGTTTCCTTAGAGGCTGATGTTGGATGATGGCTTAAGATTTTACAGTAGCTGTAAAAAGATTAGAGTAATATCTTCTAGATTCATTCTTATCCAGAGTTACGATTCCACTGATAATGTGTCTAGCACATTGTTTTTGGAAGAAAAAAAAATGATTGCTGGCGTCAGCACAAACAACCTTTCTTTGCTGAGCTTTATTCAGTGCATTGCACGGATGTCCTTTCATCAAGTGCTTGCTTGTTAAAGAGCAAAGATAAAGCCAAGCTGTTCAATCTGTGGAATCCTCTTTAGATGCACCTAAATCTTTCACCTTTTACATAGTTATTTGCTTTATGACTGATTATCTAAACTACAAGAGGAAAAGACTCTAATTGTGTATGATCAATTATTTTCTCTTGTCCCATCTACAATTCTGTAATATGATGATATATTCGGGTAAACCACCTTTCACCTGATTCTCCTGGAAATTCACTTGGCTTGTTCCAAGTATCAGACTGATGGCTCCTAAACGGATCTGAACAAGTTTTAACAACGAAAGTACAATGCACCTTGTCTTAGTGACGTTTTATTGCTCTGCAATGTATTCATTTGAGTCCTCTGGTTAAGGGGTCGTACAAATCCCAGGAGCAATATAGCCAATGCCCCTTTTCTACTGTTGTCAGTGGATGTCCAGTAGGTCATACACCACTGTGAAAAGTGCTTCTTTTGATTTTCGTTCAGGTGTTGCTGTAGTGCCTAAGTCCAGTGAAGTCCCTTTTGTAGGCCATCTGGTGATCCTGGAATGTACCTGCTGAGATACTAGAACATACACTACAGTCTCCTTTGCTGCCAATAGCCTACAGAAAGCCTTATAACATTAAAGTGGGGTATAGAAGCTTCTGTTTTCTTCATTAAACCTGCCAGCTTACAAGCGTTGATCGAGGAATCTGCTGCGTATTCTTTTGTATTTTGACAGCAGCCGCCGTCCGCTGAATACCCAACTACAGCTGGCATTACCTGCTAGCTCTGTTCCCCTGACAATTTCCCAACATGCTCCTTCGATCAGCTGATCGAAGGATGCCAGTTGTAAGGTGCCGACAGCAGCATCAAGAACCCGCCGAAATTTGAAGTGTGTATACCCTCCGTTACAATACATGTATTGCAGGTCTTTTAGGTGCCAAAAGATTTGAAGTTATGTGCAGCCACTTTTGTGAGCACCCTACGTTTTCTCTCATCCAGGAATCGGATTCAAACATGTCCAATATGTTTGATTGTGGCTTGTGTTGCAGGAACAAAGAGGAAGTTACATAATGTAGGCTTTAGGAAGTACACTCCTACTGGCTTCTTACTGACCCTGTTAGATCTGTGTAATTCATTTTAAGATAAACTAAGGGAACATTCTGATTTTAGCACATTTGCAGTGTTTCCTTGATGGCATTATTAGCTTACTGTGTGCTTTCATCTGTTGCCTACAACTGAACTTTAATGATGCATATACTTTTCAGGAGTAAGCTAGAGGAATAATAAATACTATAATGGCATTTTAGTGGGATGTGATACTTGTTTAAACTAGAAGCACATCAATAAAATGTCTTTTAAAGCAAGATCTACTTTTTAGTCCTTTTAGCCCCTGTTACGTTCCATAGATTTTCACCAGTGTTATGGTTGCTGTGGTCTGTTTCATGTAATAGTCTGTGCTACCTATTCCATTGAATGAGGTGCTTTGTATGGAGCAATGGAGTTAACCATGTTATGATGTCTTTTCTGCTATGAGTTTATCTTGTGTGTCCAAGATGATTTTAGAAAACATTATGGGGAAAAATATTGCTATATTATACTGGTTGCACCCATATATGTGGACCTTGAATTACCCAAATACATTGAGCGCTTAGGTCTTTTGGAATTACAACACACAAGTTTTCACTATAAGCACACATGTGCTTTGACCTGTGACGTTACATATTCTACAATGGCCAGCCATCTTTCTGAAGGGCCTGTTCACACGACGTCCGTTTTCTGTGCGGACCTGATCCGTACGCTCCTGCACTAAAAATGCATCCCAATGTATCCCTATATGTTTTATGGGCTACAGTTCTCACGTTCATAGTCCGTTCAGGTTACGACAGAAAAAATACTGCATGTCACATTTTGTCCGGTCAGGAAACGGACCGGAAACGCAAAACGCGTCAAACGCACTGCAGCTAACTTACTGACAGCCCGACTCCAGCAAAAAAAACATTTAAAACAAAAACTGGAATGCATCAAAAACGCGGCAAAAACGCACTGCATCAGTAGCACCGCGTCTGCAGATCTGCACCTGATCAGGACCTGATATCATGTGAACAGGCCCTGCTGAGGATGGCTTTTAATGCACTGCCCAAATCCAATAGGATTACAGGTATTGCACAAAGGAAACATTGCATCTTTACTTTTTGCATCTACGTAAATTGTCACTTATTAACTAAGTGTTCAGGTTGTTATAGAAGAAAGAAGATTCCCCACTTTATAGTAACGTGTCTAGAATTTAAACACAGTTTACGCAGTCTATGTACTGAGTCTAGAGTTTTGCACTGTGCTCTAAATTAT